CCAGTGGATTTGCAAAAAGTATTACTCCTGTTCAATGGATTAAGAAGAGGGAGAGAATTTTGGGGGGTGGGGGGGCTACAGCTGACATAGGTTCTTGGGAAACAGCTACTATAATGGAACAGGGCGTTATGATTGGGTGAAGTAGGCATTGCTTGATGTAAAGAGAAACCACATTCGACAAAACAGCTGGAGTTTCTTTTTGTTGGTGGGGAATGGAACTAGTCGAGTTGCTGTAGGAGGGAGTGAGGAAGCGCTGCGCTGTCGATGTTGCTGTCCTTCAGGCGAGATGTTAAACCAAGAGCGCCCTCCTCCTCCTCCTCCTCTCTGCTTCTCGTCACTCAGCATATAATATCTCGCAGTCCCTATTCCGAAGGAGAGTCCCCTGACCAACTGTCCTTACCGCTTAACCATTCCCACTTCCTTTCTCAAATAAAGAGGTGCTTCTTGTGGGATCTTGCTGTGTGCACAGTGCCTCCTCTATTAGGATGGTGGCTACGGAGAACAATAAAGTTCTTCAAAGATGACAGGTGCAACAAAAATTCTTTTTGAAAATTGAAATCCAACAGAGTTGGAGGGTGCTGTCTGCCTGTCATAGAGTCACATGGGAGTAGGCCATTCAGCCCCTCGAGCCTGTTATCATTTGACTAGACCATGGCTGATCTTTCACCTCAACTCTATTTTCCCTCTGTCTTCATTATCTCGAAACCTATCCATCTCGGCCTTGAATGTACTCAATGGTGGAGCTTCTGCTGCTCTTTGGGTGCAGAATTCTAAAGATTCACTGTCCACAAGGTGAAGGAATTTCTCCTAATCTCAGTTTTCAGTGGCCTACCTCTTATTCTGAGACTGGCCTGTGGTTTTAGAATTCTCCCACCTTGATTCCCCTCCACACCAAACTCTCTCCCATGAAAAAGCACCATCCTTCCTGCATCTATCTTGTCAATCCCTGTCATTATCTTATTTCAATGCAATCACTCCTCATTATTTTAAACCCGAGTGAAAATAGGCCCAGTCTCCTCAATTGCTCCTCACAGGATTGGTAATCCAATTTGACGCAGTTGTTTCAAACTGCTATGCAGTGACCACTGCCCACATTTAGCATATCTATGTGTTGTAGTGAATATTTAACATTCATGTACCTATTATGTCAAAAATACAGTACAGAAACAGGTCCTAGAGTATAGGTCCAGGTCCTAACAGGTATGGTGTCTGTACTTTGCATTAATCTCCTCCCACTCTATCTCAGCCTTTTAGCCAAGCCTTCTCTTGGGTGAATATCCCAGTTCCTTTTCACATGAACTCCCAACCCACACACTCTGTGTGTTTGCTGAGAGATTATGATGTTGTAGAGCTTGCTGTTGGGGGAGTTCGATTCCCTGCCAATGAATTCCTTTGACAAACCCCCACTTGGTTAGAGCTTGGTACAATATGGAGTGATTGCAGGCTGTGCCGAACCTCATCGCTGTGCTCAAACTCCTGGAGTGGAGCAATCCTGGTTTTGTTTTCTAGAGCTCTCCCTCCGTGGTCTCTTTCCCCTCCCCTCCCTATCTTTGTAACCTCCTCCATTACTATGACCTCGGGGAGTGCAGATCTGTTTGTGGTTTACAAAGTTCGGAGGGGCATACATAGGATAGATAGGGAGAAACTATTCCCCTCATGACAGGGTCATCAGTAACCACAGGGCACAGATATAAAATAAGCAGCAGAGGGTTGGATTTGAGGCAAACATTTTACACCCAGAGGCTGGTGGGCGTCTGGAACTCACTGCCTTGAAAAGGTGGTAAAGACAGGAACCCTCAAGAAGTTTTTAGATGAGGCATTTGAAATGCCACAGTGCGCACGATTACAGGCCGAGTGCCAGGAGATGCTGATAACCCCGTGCGTAGACACGATGGGCTGAAGGGCATGTTTCTGTGATGTAAAACTTTATGGCAAATGGCAACTGTCAATTGTTGTAAAAACATCCGGTCCACCAATGCCCCTTAAGGGAAGGAAATCTGCCACCGTTACCTGGTCTGGCCCTATACGTGACTCCAGGCCCACCGCTACGGGGTTAACTCTTGCTCGGCCTTTTGAGAGGGCAGGTGAGTGCCAAGGGGCAATTAGAGATGGGCAGCCAACGCCCATCTATTGACGTTACCAGTGCCCCGCGCCTTCCCTAAATGATTAAGTGGAAGAGGGAGATGATACAACTTCACTCAGTCTTGAGAAAGTGACCAGCATTTTAACACCGATTTATCTTCTTTTCTTTAGGGCAAGAGGAATTGAGGTTGTGCAGGTAAGTCACGACTTGTTTTTACCCCCTTCATGTCCACCGGTGACGCTGTGCAAGGGGTGTGGATAGTTTCCATGGGGAAGATTTACTCTGATAAATGTGTTAAGTTTGTTCATGGATATGGGTATCACTGTCAGCATTTATTGCCCTGTGAAAGGCAGTAGTGAGCTGCCGGGACACCCACAGTGGCATTGGAGAGGGGTGGCATTTCCAGGACTTTGACCTAGTGACACTGCAGGGAATTTCCAACAAGAACAGAAATTGCTGACGAAACTCAGTAGGTCGAGCAGCATCTGCGAGGCTTAGAATCCCAGCAGCTGGGAAAAAGCGCTAAAGACCAGATTGAGGGGTGGAGGGAGGTCCACAGGTTGGGGGAGGGATGTGTGGAAAGATGGAGAATTTTTTTATTTAAATTCATTTGTGAGACATGGGCATCACTGACTGGGCCAGCGTTTATCACCTATCCCTAGAGAAGGTGCCTTCTTGAATTGCTGCAGTCCACCTGCTGTAGGTTGACCCAAAATGACCTTAAGGATGGAATGGAGAATCCAGTTGGAGCCCAGAGTAATGAAAAAGTCAGGCGGACGAGGGGATTACGGTTAGCCAGGACAGAAGAGAAGCTGAAGCAGTGATAATGAGTGTTGAGAGGAGAGAATGGGTAGGCTGAGCTGAAAGTAACACGCCATAACAGCACCGTGGGTGTGCAGTTTGATAAGGCTTAAAGTTACCGAACTCGATATTGAGTCCAGAGTACTGAAGGGCTCCCAAGCGGAAAACGAGGTGCTGTTCTTCCAGCTTGCGCTGAGCTTCGCTGGAACCCTGCAGCAAGAGATGCTGGCCAGGGATCACAGTGGTGTGTTGAAGTGGCAGGCAACTGGAAGCTCAGGGTCATTTTTTTTGTAGACAGAATAAGGGTGGTTCTGCGAAGGGATCACCCAGTCTATGCTTCGTCTCCCCAGTCTGGTCGCCTCATTACAGGAAGGATGTGGAGGCTTCAGAGAGGGGGGAAGAAGAGGTTTACCAGGATGCTGCCTGGATTAGAGAGTTTGAGCTGTAAGGAGAGACTAGAAAAACTTGGGTCGTTTTCTCTGGAGCGGCGGAGGCTGAGGGAAGACTTGACAGAAGTCTATATAACAGTATGAGATGCATGGATAGGGTTGACGATCAGAATCTTTTTCCCAGAGATGAAATGTCTAAAACTAAGGGGTGTGTATTTAAAGTGAAAGGTGGAATGTTCAAAGGAGATGTGAGGGACACACTTTTTACGTGGAGGGGTGGGAGTTTGGAACACACTGTCAGGATTAATGGTCGATACAACAGGGGTCTTTAAGAGACTTTTAGATGCGCACATGAATAAGCAAGGAATGGAGGGATATGAACCAAGGGCAGACAGAAGGGATTAGTTTAATTTGGCATCATGTTTGGCTCAACATTGTGGGCCGAAGGGTCTGTTTCTGTTCTGTACAGGTCTATGTTCTAATGTAGAGGAGACCACATTGTGAAGAGTGGATACAGTAGACTGGATTGAATGAAGTATAGGCATATTTCCAAGTCAGGATGGTGAGTGGCTCAGCTTGCAGGAGCTGGGGTTCCCATGTCTGTGCTGGCCCTGACGTTGGAGGCCGTGAAGGATTGGATCTGTGCCCTTTTAAAAATAGCAGAACCTTTTCTCCGACTCTGAGGCTCGGCTTGTTGCCTAGATTCAGATCGTCGTATGTTAGAAATGTTTACAAACCCCGTTTCCAATTTGAAATGAAGAATAGAAAATGTTGGAAGAAGCGCAAGATTTGCAGCATCTCATTGTTGTTGGAGAGATGGTAAAAGATCACATCCTTGTTTCATGTGATGACCTCTCATTGTATTTATTTTAGTTTCTGATGAAGAGCTATTGGGCTGAAATATCTCGGCGTTCCCTCTCCCTGCAGTTGCTGCCTGTCTTTTTCCGTGTTCCCAGCGCTTCCTGTTTGGATTTTTGTCCTGCTCGGTGTTCCCAGTGCTTCCTGTTTGCGTTTTAGCATCAACCGTCTTTCTGCCCAGTTCAAACCCCTTATGTTCAGGATTCTGTGTGTGCTCAGGGTGGACGGAGATGGGGATCTTGTCTGTGCTGCTAATCCAGGGAAAGGGCCTTCGGAATGTAACGAGGTGCTTGCAGCATGGGAGCAGAATGTGGTTCAGCGACATGTGAATCTCCTTGTTCTCTCTCTCTCCCTCTGTCTCCACACCTCATTCTATCAGCACGTCCTTCCTCGAGGGAATTGGACCAATGTCCCAATAGCATTGCATTGGTTTCTGGTCATGGAAGACCTTACACATAGACCTCCCAGGGAGTGGGGTTGGGGGGTTGCTGGGGAAGGGAGCTTGGCTTGAAAAATTGGCCCGTGTAGTTTTGAGATTGCCGTGTGCCATTTGCAAGGACAAAGGGTGGGTTGGGTATCAGCTGGGAATGCCATTTGAACCCATGGTCAGATTGCAAATGGTGTAACTGTGTGGGCGATGCCTTTCCCCCTACCACACAGTAAGGATTCTATCTATCCATCATAATTCTATCAACTAAGAACCTGTGTAATTCTGTCAGAGTTCTAAGGAAGGGTCACCGGACCCGAAACGTTGCCTCTGAATTTTTTTTTCTTCTTCACAGATGCTGCCAGACCAGCTGAGCTTTTCCAGCAACTTCCGTCTTTGTTCCTGATTCACAGCATCCGCAGTTCTTTCGGTTTTTTTTTAAATTAAGAACCTGCCTAACTTGGCCTCGAATAAATTTTAATATCCCAGCCTCCGCTGGTGTCTGGAGGAGAGAAATCTAAAGACTGAGGACCTTGTGAGTGAACAGTTCCTCACGATCTCTTAAAAATGTAGAGTCTATATTTTGAAACCGTTCTGTGTTCTTCTTTAGACTGTTCACCTCCCCTCCCCCCCCCCCCCCCCGCCCCCCTTCACGAGGCTTAGTATCCTGACTCTGGCAAGCACACCCCCACCACTCTCTCCCTCTCTGGGTCTGACGTCCAAGAGAGTGCTGTGTATTGTTGTAGTTCAGTTCTTCTCCCTCTGTCCAGCTATTGTGCTGGTGTCACTCACAGAGCTCAGAGGATCAGCCAGTTTCCCACTTTAGTCGGGAGACCCACAGAAGCAGGTGGTGTCCACTTGTCCCTGCCATGAGAAGCTGTTAGTCAGCCCTCTCCACGTCTCCTGCAGCTTCTCTGATCCTCTTCACTCCTGACGTCGAAAGCCCTCGCACAGGTCCCTGAGCTGACCCAGAGAAGCACCTTTTCACTGCAGTGCCCCTTCCACAAGCCCTGGGGCATCCTGATGTGTTTCACAGTGTGCTATGTAGGTTTGTAATGGTTACTGTTCCAGTGTAATGCTGCTGCTCCCTTCATCTCTTGTCGTCCTCCTATAATCTGCTTCTGTTTTCCCCTTCTTTCATACCCCTCCCCCCATCTTTCTGTCTCTGTCTCTCTCTCTCTCATCTTTCTGTAAGACATAAGAGCAGGAGTAGGCCATTCAGCCATCAAGTCTGCTGCATCAACCACATCATGGTTGATCTGATGATCCTCAACTCCAGTTTGCCTTTTCCCCAGAACCATTGATTCCCTCTTTGATTAAAAACCTGTCTGTCTCAGCCTTGAATACGCTCAATCACAGCCCTCATTGATAAAGAATTCCCCAGATTCACTCCGCACGGAGAGAGGAAATTCCTCCTCATTTCTGTCTTCAGTGGGCGATCCCTTACTCTGAGATGATGTCCCTCTGGTCCTAGACTCTCCCACAAGGGAGAAACAATCTCTCCACATCTACCCTGTCAAGGCCCCTAAGAATCTTGTCCGTTTCAATAAGATCGCCCCTCATTCTTTTAAACTCCAATGAATACAGGCCCAACTTACTCACTGTCTCCACATAAAATAGTCCCTTCATATCCATACCTCTCTCTCTCAGGTTTTTCTCCCACTCTCATCTTTCTGTCTCCCTCTTTCTCCATCATTACTCCCTCCCTCGCCTTTGCCGCTCCCTCCCTCCCTCGCTGCTCCCGCTCCCTCCCTCCCTCGCCGCTCCTGCTCCCACTCCCTCCCTCGCCCTTCCCACTCTCCCTCCCGCCCTTCCTCGCTTTTCCCTCGCCTTTCCTGCTCTCCCTCCCTCGCCTTTCTGGCTCTCCCTCTGTCTCTCTCTACTTCGTGCAACAACCACCCACCCACCCCACCCCTGTCATCTCTCTCTAGTGATTATTACAGGGTGAGAGAGGGTGGGGGACGGCTGTGTGGGGGTTGGGGGGGGAATAGGACACAGGGAAGTGTCCTGTGATGAATACTCTTTCCCAAGGGGCAATGATTAATCATACAATCCAACACAGCACAAGAACAGGCCCTTCGGCCCAGCAAGCCTCACTGATTCTAACCCTTCTTTAGTGATTGTTGGAGGGTTTGAGCTACAGGGAGAGGCTGAATAGGCTGGGGCTATTTTCCCTGGAGATTCGGAGGCTGAGGGGTGATCTTATAGAGGTTTATAAAATCATGAGGGGCATGGATAGGGTGAATAGACAAGGTCTTTGCCCCAGGGTAGGGGAGTCCAAAACTAGAGGAGCATAGGTTTAAGGTGGGAGGGGAAAGACTTAAAAGGGACCTAAGAGGTGACGTTTTCACACAGGGTGGTGTGTGTATGGAATGAGCTGCCAGAGGAAGTGGCAAAGGCTGGTACAATTACAACATTTAAAAGGCATCTGGATGGGTACATGAATAGGAAGGGTTTAGAGGGATATGGGCCAAATGCTGGCAAATGGGACTCGATTTATTCAGCATATCTGGTCGGCATGGATGAGTTGGACCGAAGGGTCTGTTTCCGCGCTGTATAACTCTATGGCTCTATAATGATAATCCTAACAATTAGACCCTTAACTCCAAATTCAGAAGCCAGCATTAGTAATGGTGACAATATAATTAGTGGATTGTTGGTAAAAACCCCATCTGGTTCACTTAATGCCCCTTTGGAGGTGGGGGGAGTGAAATATCTGCCATCTTTGCTTGTTCTGGGCCTACACATGACTCGAGACCCACAGTGACATGGTTAAGTCTTCCTTGCCTTCTGGCCGAAAGAGACAATGCCATGGTCAAGAAGGAAGATCGCCCATCTCCAGGCTCAGCCGTGCCCCACATTCTGAAGAAGAATCACACGTTGACTTTTCTGTTTCTCTCTCTCTCTCTCCACCGATTGGTGCCAGACTTACCGAGTTTTTCCAGCCGTTTCTGTTTTCCGTCAGAGTACAAGTTTTGTATTCTCTCACAGCTGGAGTGGGTTCCAGGTCCCTGAAACGATTGGTCCCCTCAACCCCACCCCCACCCCGAGCAAATTTGGGGGTTTTAAAGAGAGTTAGCAGTTATGAAAGGTGGGGAAACATATTGAGGTGCATCCATGGAAACCGCTCTCCTTTGGCGACAGTTATTCCCTGATGGGATCTGATTCAGTCGATGGTTTTGTAGACGGATTTTGATATTTTGATTTTTTTTTTTCCTCCCCCTACCTTGTTGATTTGCAGATCGATCTGACACAATCGATCGAAGACCAGGGACCTTTCGATCTGATCATTCACAAACTTTCAGACTTGATGCGAGATGCTGATCAGAATGACACCCAGTCCCGACAGCTCATCCAGAAATTTCAGGTACAGTCGACCCTTGTCCCAGAGGGACAGCACAGACGGAAACCATTTTGCATGTCGCACCTATGCCAGCCGTTTGAAAAAGCTCTCCGGTTGCTCCAAGCTTGTCCCTCCCCCTTTAAAGATCTTCCCTTTCACTAAAACTGCCCCTTTGCATCTTTGCCCTCTGTTGCCTCCAGTCCTCACTATTCCAAAGGGCAGGACTTATGCACTTAATGTTAAGGTTTTGGGGCGTTTTTCTTTAATTCATTTGTGGGAGGAGAGGCATTGTTGCCCAGTTCAGCATTTATTGCCCAGAGGGCAGTTAAGAGTCACCCACATTTCTGTGGGTCTGGAGTCACATGCAGGCCAGACCAGGTAAGAATGGCAGTTTCCTTCCCTATTAGTGAACCAAATGGGGTTTTCGGCAACAATGGATCCATGCTCACCATTCGACCCGTAATTCCAGTTATTTATTGAATCCAAATTCCACCATCGGGATTCGAACCCAGGTCCCCGAATATTACTTGGGTCTCTGGATTAACAGTCCAGTGATAATACCACTAGATCGTCACCTCCTGTTACCATATGATGAGACTTTGGAGTGCAGGTTGATAGTACCTTGAAAATGGGGTCCTAGGTAGACAGGCCGGTGAAAAAGGTGTTTGGTATGCTTGCCTTTATTGGTCAGTGCATTGAGTATAGGAGTTGGGAGGTCATGTTACAGCTGTACAGCACATTGGTATGGCCACTTTTGAAATACAGCATTCAGTTCTGGTCTCCCTGCCATAGGAAGGATGTTGTTTAACTTGAAAGGATTCAGAAAAGATTTACAAGGATGTTGGTGGGTTGGAGGGTTTGAGCTATAGGGAAGGGCTGAATAGGCTGGGGTTATTTTCCCTGGAGCGTCAGAGGCCGAGGGGTGACCTTATGGAGGCTGAAAAAATCATGAGGGGCATGGATAGGGTGAGTAGTCAAGGTCTTTTCCCCAGGGTGGGGGAGTCCAAAACTAGGGGGGCATAGGTTTAAGGTGAGAGGGGAAAGATTTAAAAGGGATCTAAGGGGCAACTTTTTCACACAGAGGGTGGTATGTGTATGGAACGAGCTGCCAGAGGAAGTGGTGGAGGCTGGTACAATTACAACATTTAAAAGGCATCTGGACGGGTATATGGATAGGAAGGGTTTAGAGGGATATGGGCCAAATGCTGGCAAATGGGACTAGACTAATTTAGGATATCTGGACGGGTTGGACCAAAGGGTCTGTTTGCGTGCTGTATGACTCTGACTCCAAATGGAGCTTGGTTAGCTCAGTTGGCTGGATGTCTGGTTTGCAATGCAAACGCCAACAGTGCCAATTCCCACACCAGGTCAGGTTACCGTGAATGATTCTACCCCCTCCCCTTGCCTGAGGTGTGGTGACCCTCCGGTTAAATCACTCCCCCACACCCCATCATCTCTCTGTCTCATGAGAGAGCAGCCCTATGGCCTGGGAGGATTATGGTAACTTTACCTTTGCCTGTCTGGTTTAGATGGGGGTCAGTTTTTTCCTGAAACTACCTCCATAAGCCCTTAGAATAAAAACGATCTGGTCGTTAATACATGACTGTTGGAGTGGAATCTTGCTGTGAGCAAAATGGCTGCCATGTTTCCTGTATTATAACAGGCACTTTGAGATGATTAGAAAAAAAAAACTGCTTTATTTGTCCGTGAAGCACTTCAGGGCTTATGAAAGGTTCTGAAAGTCGCTCTAGAAACGCAACAACTCTGCTTATTTTTTTAATTGAACCCCTTCGTTACAGGATTATGTCGAAGCCCATCCCCAAACGATCTTGTTGGATCCCTTGCCGGCGATGCGAAGATTGTCAGATCGCTTTCAATCCTACAAACTTATTCAGGAGCTGCAGTCCCTGGATCAAGGTTGGTCTCTACCCCACCCCAGAGTTTCTCGGAATTAAAGATCTCACCTTTCTACGCTGGCCGGAGTGAGGTGCGGGTGTGATTTGTTTTGGTCCTTTTGGAGAGAGATCACTTCCTGGCGCCAAAATGTCATGCGAACCCAGCGGTCATTTTGTTGAGGTTGGGGTGGGGGCGGGGGGTGGGGGTGGGGTTTGGGCGCGGTTTGCTGGTACAAAATGGCCGCCGCCCCAAAAGTTGTCAACTGTGAGGACGGCGGTCCACAAGAACGTCGACACGTTGATGGAGGGCAGACGGCATTCCACACGAAGAGGTGTGAGGTGAAGCACTTTGGACGAAAGAACGAGGAGATACGATCAGAAATAAAGGGCACAACCCCGGAGAGAGTGTTTAGGAGCGGACGGGCCTGGGTATAAAGCACAGGACAGAGACAGAGCAAGCATACAGTGACGAATAAAAAGACAGTAAATTAAATGGCGATACTTGAGGTTATTTTGTCCCGATATTTTGTTTTTGAAGAGAGGTTTTAAGGCAGAAGCACCGAGCGGTCTGCCAGAATCAAAACCAAAAGAACTGCAGATGCTGTAAATCAGAAACAAAAACAGAGCGAGGAAGAGGTCAACGAGACTAATTCCGCGGATGAGAAACTTCTGTTAGGAAGATGGACGGGAGAGGGCTAAGGGGAGACTTGATAGAAGTTTTCGAAACCATGAAGGGGCTGGACAGAGTAAGAGGGGAGAAAGTTGTAAAACAAGGTGAGGGCACAGATGGTTGTTGGGGGGGATATCTGCAAAAGCAGCAAATATGAGGTGAGAGGGGAGAAAAACATGTCTTCAGAGGCGTTAGGGCCTGGGAATGCTACAGCAGGAGGTTCAATTGGAACATTAAACAGGGCATTGGACGTTTTGTTGAGTAGCGACAGTGTGCAGGGTCCAGGGGTAAAGGCAGAATTGGCTGTAAGCACGATGGTCATGAAGGGAGCTGGTGCAGACAAGATGGGCCAAATGGCCTCCTCTTTGCTCCATATCAGTTCTGTGACATTTATATTCTTAGGTTATGTTCTTATTTCTTCTGTGTATCATTAGCTGCAGCAATAATAAGTCATTTGCACCCCTCTCCTCCTGTACACATTATCCCAGGGCAGTAATTCTACCTTACAGGGGTTTAGCTACTTGCTTGCTATCTCGGTTTTAATGTCTCTGATGCGCCTGTCCCTGTGAAATGTGTGGCCCTCTGCCATTCACAGCGACTTGAACTGGGTTAATCACCAGCCCATTCCTGTTCAGATCCTCGTTTCAGAGTCTCATTTCCTTCTTTTCTAAAAAATGGACTTTCTATGCTGTAGGTCATCAGTTCTGCAATCCTCCATATCTGGAGCTGGCTACAGGAAACCAAAGCGAGATCCTGCATCTGATTAAAGAACAAAACTTGACCTTTCCACTCAGTGAGTATTTTGGCCATCTGTGTGAAAGTACAAGTCTGTTACTCCCAACATCTGACTGTTTCCCTCTTGTGCTTTTTCTCCCTCCCCCTCTCCCTCTCTCTCTCACGCTTTCCCTGTGCATTCTCCCTTCCACGATCTCCCTTGTGTGTGCTCTCTCCCACATTTCTATGACCTCTCTTTCTCTTTCACTCACTCAATTCCTCACTGCCTCAGCCCCTCACTCCTCCGTATCTTACTCCCTCCATCTCCCACTCCCTTCCTTGCCTGCTCTGCCCTTGCCCTGTTTTGTTCATACATCCTCGCGGTCTCTCTCTATTTCTTTCTCTCTCTTTGTTTCTTTGTGTCTCTATCTCTCTGTCTCTGTCTTCTCTGTCTCTGTCTCTATCTCGCTGTCTTCTCTGTCTCTGTCTCTATCTCTATCTCCCTCTGTCTGTGTCTCTATCTCTGTCTGTGTCTCTATCTCTGTCTGTG